CTCTCTCTCTCTCTCTCTCTGTCTCTGTCTCTGTCTCTCTGTCTCTGTCTCTGTCTCTCTCTCTCTCTGTCTCTCTCTCTCTCTGTCTCTGTCTCTGTCTCTCTGTCTCTGTCTCTGTCTCTCTCTCTCTCTGTCTCTCTCTCTCTCTGTCTCTGTCTCTGTCTCTCTGTCTCTGTCTCTGTCTCTCTCTCTCTCTGTCTCTCTCTCTCGCTCTCTGTCTCTCTCTCTCTCTGTCTCGTTACAGTAGTGACCAAGATTATGGAAACCTTTTGGGGAAAGGGTATTTTTGAGGTTTGATGACTAATAACACCACTTTTATTTTTGGGAGTAGTACCATAAAAGTATATGTCAATGGAAAGATAATTTAATCACGAGTATAATGCAACAAAGTTTGTTCAATTATCATCTGTATTGTATGAAAAGCTATAAAGGATGAAGTCACTTTATATGGCTGAATGGATTATTCCATGGGTATGACTAGTAAGGGGGGGTTTGTGAACCTGGTTAGTTAAGGCAAAGTTTACACCTTCTCATTTTAACTGTTTTTTTCCCCAATATCATGTCATGGCTGGGAAGGAAAGCGGTTACTTGGTTAACTCTTGGTGCCGTCTCTTAGAACTCTACCGACAAAAGGAAATCTCCAATTTCTTTTTCCGTTGGGCTCCTGTTTTGTCCTGCTTTTGATGTAGGGAGCCCTTTTAATTATGAATTTTGCAACAATAGACAATAATAAAGGTCGAACAGTGCGCTGGGAGTTAACACAGTTCCCGAATAGTAAGAAACAATTTGCTGGCCACCGTCAATTCCGTTTCTCTGTATAAAATGTATAAATAAATAGTTGACTTGCAATACGAAAGGATGTTGTACAATACAATTGGCTTGGTCTTCCCGTGACTTGCTTTAACCCTTTGTAACCAGGACTACAAACTCTGGAAAAGAAAAGGAAAAAAAGGAAGATGGGAAAAGGAGGGGAAAGGCGAAGAGGAGAAAAGGAAAGGAAAGGAAGGAAGGTGAAGAGGAGAAAAGGAAAGATGAAAGGAAGGGAAGGGAAAGGAGGGGAAAGGAAGGGAAGGTGAAGAGGAAGTAAGGAAAGGAAGGGAAAGGAAGGGAAAGGAAGGGAAGGGAGAGGAAAGGAAGGGAAGGAATGTGAAGAGGAGAAAAGGAAAGAGGAAAGGAAAGGAAGGGAAGGGAAGGGAAGGGAAGGAAGGTGAAGAGGAGAAAAGGAAAGAGGAAAGGAAGGGAAGGGAAGGGAAAGGAGGGGAAAGGAAGGGAAGGTGAAGAGGAGGTAAGGAGAGGAAGGGAAAGGAAGGGAAAGGAAGGGAAGGGAGAGGAAAGGAAGGGAAGGAAGGTGAAGAGGAGAAAAGGAAAGAGGAAAGGAAAGGAAGGGAAGGGAAAGGAAGGGAAAGGAAGGGAAGGCGAAGAGGAAGTAAGGAAAGGAAGGGAAAGGAAAGGAAGGGAAGAAAGAGAAAGAAGGGAAAGGAAAGGAAGGGAAGGGAAGGAAGGTGAAGAGGAGAAAAGGAAAGAGGAAAGGAAAGGAAGGGAAAGGAAGGGAAGGCGAAGAGGAAGTAAGGAGAGGAAGGGAAAGGAAAGGAAGGGAAGGGAGAGGAAAGGAAGGGAAGGAATGTGAAGAGGAGAAAAGGAAAGAGGAAAGGAAAGGAAGGGAAAGGAAAGGAAGGGAAAGGAAGGGAAGGCGAAGAGGAAGTAAGGAGAGGAAGGGAAAGGAAAGGAAGGGAAAGAAGGGAAAGAAGGGAAAGGAAAGGAAGGGAAGGGAAGAGAAGGAAGGTGAAGAGGAGAAAAGGAAAGAGGAAAGGAAAGGAAGGGAAAGGAAAGGAAGGGAAAGGAAGGGAAGGCGAAGAG